ACTATGCTGTAGTAGGTTATCTCGAAGACTTCTACTTTCTGCGCACCTCTTGTTGTGTTCTTCCTTGGGGCTCACATGCGGCGTAGTTAGACGGCGAATATCGCAGCCTAGACTAGACTAGAAGCCGCTGTGCGGCAGTTGCCAGGGCCCGAGAATAGGACCCAAGGTAGAGCGGCTCGAGTGAGTTCTGTCAGCGATGGGTGAACGTTCATAAAAGAGTGTCAATGTCCCCCGATGTAAATCGGCAAGACAACGAGCTCGTGGCTCAATGGTTAGGGCGTTAGACTCTGACCATAAAGGGTCTGGGTATGAATGGCTGAGGACAGCTAATAAGCTAGAAATGGCCAGTTCAGTCACCCTTGTCTTTGCCGGCAATATTGTCTGCCTAGACTACTAGTAGCAACGGTAGTTTTGACCTTGAAGAGCCCATCTGGTCCTATGCTGAGTTCAGCAGTCGGTGGACAAGCAGCCTGACGCATGAGCGTGATGAATCTTTCCAGTCGTGCGATATGCGAACCGTGGGCCAATGGGCTGCGTCTTGTCGTTAATTCTGTGTGACGGCAGCACTAATTGGATTATCCGGCAGCCCAGAGAAGATTTTGAAATTGCCTAGTTTGAACGGGACGCCGGCAGACTAACATGTAGGTAAATGGAGCCTGACCCTTGAATATGCAGCCGATTAGGTATGTCGATGCAAAGGCACGTCTAAAGTTATTAGAGCTAACTGATTCCTTATATAGTCACCCCTGACGGTAATTTCACTGCTGGCCACATGCGTATACATAGAGCATTACACACACGGCTAAAAAGCATGACCCGTCTTCCGGGAAATTAACCGACATTAGGAATACTAGGTCTACTAGGCTGTTGAGAAGAAAGTCAGCATCAAAACTGCACAATATTTTCGAAGTGAAACGACTGGATGATAATAAGGCAAAGAACAAAGTCATTGTCGCACGTACCATACGGTCTCAGAGAGAAGGTTACTCACTGCCTCGTTGGATTCCGGATTAGCCATCTCGTAGACAAGCAGGGACTCGAAGAGCTTCGAGGCTGCCGCTTTACGAACCTGAAAGAGACAAACTAAGTCCAGCACAGGGACATACAAACATTGAGCTGAAAAATAACTGTTTTAGGACGGCTCAGCACGCGATTTATCACTTGAACCGTCCCGAGGACAAGAGAACAAAGGAATCAGACCGGGACAAGAATGCGAC